TGGTATATAGGTATATAGCAAGCACTAACTAAATGCATAACTATTAATCTTACCAATATAATGTTCTTAGCATTATATTCAAGAATAAATTAGATCTTTAGTTGTTACATATAATCATTTATTTCAGATTAAATTTAGAGTAAATGTATTTCAATTTCTCTAAGCTTCTAAGATTCAGTGATTATATTGACTATTAATCATGCTCCATTGTATAATCCATCCATCTCCTTTTCATGACTTGAGAGAATGCAAATCTTATATCTTCTCTCAAGGAAAATATTATGACTATATAATTAAAATAATTTTTAAATGTATTTATATTCCAGCTTTAGTGCTAGTCCTAATCAAAATTTAAATAGTCATTTTACATTAAATATTTGATGTATAATATTTTGTAATATATTGAATTTACTGTAGTAGATGACTATCTTAGCTATTTGCAAATAATGTAAGCATAAATATACTGATAAATCAAGAACCTTACTTTAATTATTGACATCATTATTCAGGATATTAATCTATTATCATTGCTATAAAACAGTCAATTTTCATATTGCCATTTTCTTTTTATTATTTAAATACCTCTCTGTTGGGAATGCAGACAAAAAGATGGAAAAGATTTATAATAATTAGGTAATATAAGTTTAGTAGGAGCTCCATCTTTATTTATTCATATATTCATAGCAAGTATTTATTGACCATGAATTCTATGCCAGAAAATGTGATAGGTAATTTTTTTTTTTTAAGTCACAATCCTTGCTTTCATGTAGCTTATGGCCTAGTGGAGGAGTCAAACATTAATGAAAAGATTATATAAACATATGTAAGTTTACAGCTGTCATAATGTCTTGTAAAGTGATGGATGTAAATTTCTGATAGTGTAAATAATAATTATTGTTCCAGTCAAAGCGATAGTGGATAGCTTCCCTGTGAAAATGAAAATCAAACTGATATATATATATATATATATATATATATATATATATATATATACACACACATATATATACACACACACACATACACACACACACACATTTACTTGAAGTTTCAGGAGGGTCAATCCAGACTGTAGAAATAGCATGTACAAAGACCATACATCAGGAAGAACTGCTGGAAGGGAAAATGGTACAATATGAATATGTTAAAACAGGTTGGGGATAGCCTACCTAAACCTGTATAGACCGTGTTTTTAATCTTTCTCCAAAGAGCAATGCAAATTCATTGAAAATTTTTGAAGTGTGGTGGGAGACAGGATCAGATTTGCTCTACAGAAAGACTACTTTGGCTACAATAGGGAGATTGAAGAGGAAGAAAGGTAGATTTCAGGTAGTCTTACAAGGAGCTGGAGCCTAGGAAAATGATGAAACTGGAAATAGAGAAATGAATGGATATTAGGATTCTCAGGAGGTGAAATCAATAGTGATATATTTAATAGGGGGCATAGGCTGGAGAAGACAATGAGGCTAACAAGTTTTATGACTTATGTAAAAAGTCACCATTCATTAAAGCAGGAGATGTTGGAAGAGGACTGGTTGAATATCATGAGTATGATGTTGGTAGGTTAAATGTTAAATTTGAGGTATTTTCGAGTCATTTAGCAGAAATGTCAATTATGTAGTTATATAAATCAGTCTAGACCCCAGAGCTCAGATACACATCTAGAAATATACATTTGTAAATCATGTGTAGATGGGGACAATAGCAGTAATGAACACAGAAGAGCTCAAATGAGAAAAGGATGTAGGCCCAAGTCCAGAGAACTGCTAACATGAACTTGAAAAAGGAACTGAGAAAGAGATGCATGTTATGTCATTAAATTCAAGGGAAAGTTGTCTTTGTGATGCAGGGAGAGATCATCAGTGCTAAATGTCAAGAGCCTTGATCAGATGAGCTTTGAAGTATATCTGCTATGTTCAACAATACAATAATTAAGAAGTACTTTTTCCATGAGGAATAGGGTACCCAACAATATGGGAAAAAAAGAGTCTTCTCAGAGTGACTGGGATATATAAAAATAGAGAGAAAAGGTGGTAACATGGAGTAACCAGAGGGTAGAGGGGAGGGCTCAATCTCTTTGATTTCATTTTAACAAGAAACAGTCTTTTAATAGGAAATCTAGTTAACAGGATGATGTTGAATGCATGAGACAGGGACTTAAATATCTGAAATGGAGGTTGATACGTTTACTGATGGAAAGTTAGTCTTAGAAAAGGGGACAGCTCCTGTATTATGGAAGCAGATAAATAGAGTAGACTGCATATGGGCTATAGGTTGGAACATGGAAATAAGTATGAATTTTAATCTCACATCTTCTGTGTTCTCTATGTAATAACAGTGGGAGTAAAGATGTGGAAAGTCATTGTAAAATGTGGACAAGTGAGTTGACCAAATAAATAAAAACCTAAGAAGGGTAAGAATAAATCATTGTCTTTGATTATTTCTGGTTATATTGTTTATTGACATTTAGGAAATTTTAGAACTATCTTTCTGAATTAGTGGTCCTTGGCCTTTTTTAAAATTTTGCTTCAGTGTAGCACCTCTAATATAAGAAAGGACTACCACATACTCATTATCCATTACAGTGTTCTGCTGTATCATTGATTCTGAAGAATGGAGTGAAGCATCTCTTTAGGAAGGACTATACAAAACTCAGAGACAGGAAAGAGAGAGAGAGAGAGAGAGAGTGTGTGTGTGTGTGTGTGTGTGTGTGTATTTGTTAGAAAAAGTTCATTATATGATTATGATATGCCTTCCACAGGGAGGCTAGAAATTTCTCCTTGAAAATAGAATAGCCACGTGTTGAAAATAGACCAGAATTTAGGAATTTGCTTATAGATATATGACAAGTAATTGTTAAATTTAATAAACAGTTTAGCACATACAAATAATCAGCTCCCTTTTCCTAAATAAAAAACTTTAGATATTTTTCTTCTATTTTAAAAATTCACTTTGTGAGATTTAGAAGTATCCGTTATTAAAATCAGTAACTATTCCAATTTATATTCATTTAAAAGTAAAACATGTAATTATTTATTAGAAAAATATTTATGAACATTTTATAAATACTATCAACATGTTGTCAGTAAATTCCTCCTCAGGTGGAATTTTCTGACTTTGGTTGAGTCATTAAATGCTTTGGGTCACTAGTGATCAATTAGTAAATTACTGATCCATAGTACTTTAATGGCCTGAAAAAGTAAATGCATCTTCTGAGAGCCTAATTGAATCTTAGAGAGTTATTTATTCATCATTAAGATCAAGATAAATGAGTCAGCTCACAATAATGATACTGAACAGTTACATTAATTTCACAAATAGATAAACTAAAGCTCAGAAAAGACAGGACAAGGGAGTTAAACATCCAGGTTAGATTTTCCATCTGAAAAGACCCAATTCCCAGTATCTTGCTATAAAATTAAATATATGAGTTTGAAAGCAATATTTTTCTGCAAGTTCATTTTCATATAGTGTTATTAAGTTTGATGCCATTCAGTTAATAATTGTAGATCCATGGTACATATACTAATATGGCCTTGTTATAATGTAAATAGTACAGTTTAAACAGCAAAATTTCACACTCTTTTAATATAAAAATTTTCCTAGAACCAATTATCCTAAGTGCCTACTATATGGTTCATTTGGAAAATGAATGATAGCTGCAATATGGTAAAATGATTATGAGCACAGGCTTTGGAATAAGAAAAATGTAGCTTTAATATCTGGCTTCTGTACTTACTTGCTGAGATCTGAACAAGTTACTTAAACTTCTAAGGTTTAGTTTCTCCACTTATGAAATGGAGAGGAAAAACGCATAATTCACAGCTCATTGTAAGGACTAAGTAAAAAAAAAAAAAATCCTTAAATACTTAGCATGGGGCCTAGCAACAAATATATATGAACTTAGTACACACAGACATACATACACACACTGCTTAACTTTAGCTAGAATATTTTTAAAAGCATTATTACTTTGAGACTAGATTCATCCAAGTTGGTTTAGCATTCTACTGGGCATGTTACTTTTCATGTCTTTCGTGGTTTTTGTCCCCAAAAGCTATAAAACAAGTTTTATCTTCTTTCATGAAACAATTGAAAAGAAAATAACGAGAAAATGTTCAAAAAATAATTTACTAGTATTTGTGTTTGTCTGGAAGGGACATCCTGCAGCTTTGATCACAGCTGAAGATCATTACTTCAAACAAGATACATCTTTTAGATATTTAAATATGTATTATCATATTATGCAATTTAAATGTAAAGTCATCTACCCTCTGCTGTACTGAGATCCTGCTATATTTTAAATAAGTAAAATAGTAAATTTTAGTGCTATCACTGAGAATCTAAGAAGACACATTAAAAAAGGGATTATTACTCCAAGAATTATCTTTTTTTAATCATTAATTGTTCATTAAAATATTCCTGACATTTATGCAATACAGTCATGTTAGTGATCTTTGGCATAGACAACTTAGTGCTGTAAAAACTAACAAATCTGTTCAGAGCCCAATAGTATAAATTTCTATGCCGAGAAATATAAACCAATGGTAAAATGCCATGTTGAAGTTTCTAAATAACCCACCTAATAATTTACATGTTAAGAACATGTTGAATATCTTGGGAACATGTCCCTAGAAAGGATTCTTCAGTATAAGCTTTTCCTTTACTATTAATGATGACTTTGATAAAAATCACCCAGGAAAAAAAGACGATTTTCTCCCTGTGTAATCTGTGTCTGAAATATTCTTCACTGATTTTACATGCGCTGATAATATGAACAAGGTAATTTGTCTGACTCTGATGGGGCAAGATTTTCAGTAAGAAATTCAAAATTTACACATGGCTCTTCTGTAAGAAGTCTTTGCAGTGTTTTTCAGTTTATATAAAAAGATTTATATTGCCTGAGGCATCTGTTTTTTTTCCTCAAGGCAAGCTGAAGTGGCACAAATGAAATTGTTTTTCACATTGTTAATGTATTCCTTTCTCTTTCAATTTCTCAGAGAGCCGACATAGGGATTTCTGCTTTAACCATCACTCCTGACCGTGAGAATGTGGTGGACTTTACAACACGTTACATGGACTACTCAGTGGGGGTACTACTTCGAAGGGCTGAAAAGACAGTGGATATGTTTGCCTGTCTTGCACCATTTGATCTCTCTCTATGGGCTTGCATTGCTGGCACAGTCCTTCTGGTGGGTCTACTGGTCTACCTCTTGAACTGGCTTAATCCCCCACGGTTACAAATGGGATCAATGACGTCTACTACTCTCTACAACTCCATGTGGTTTGTGTATGGATCTTTTGTACAACAAGGTAAGGAGCAAAACTATATTCTAGTATTAAAAAAAAAACAGAATGTGATGTTTCCCATGCCATGTATTTAGTTAATAAGGTTCTGTATGTGACATCAGTAAGTGTTCTAAAGGGTCCTCACAGCAATGCTCAGAAAAGAACATTTCCTTCTCCCTCCTAGTGGATCTCAGACACACCAGGTTTCCAGCAATAATGGTTCATTGTCTTTTGATGCAAGTTCAATTTCATCAACAAAGGCAAAAGTGAGTGTCAAAAGTAAAGCTCACAAAAAACATCAAGATCTGATTTTTCTCTCCAAACTCACTTTCTGAGAAATAGCCTTACTAGGATGAAGCTACTTATTACCAGAGAAGGTACTATTTAATTATTTACATATGTAAGAAATGTTAGGATTTGTTCTTTGTTCAGAGACATTATTTCATGCATTAAAAATATTCATTGACATTGAAAAGACTTTGGTTAATTTAAGACTGATGAGAAATTTTATGTTTTATCTTTCACTTTGATATGTAATCTTTACTGGTGATTTAACTTACAATTTCACTATTTTCTAGAGAATGTCATTGCTCTGTTATTTAATATCCAATCTGCCCAACTCTTTAAACTTGTCTGATTAATTATTTGGCTCTCACTGTTTCAAAATAGAATAATATTTATTGCATTCCTTACTTGAGACTTGCCTCATAGAGAATGAAATAGTAAGAAAACTGATAGTCTCTTGCAAGCTCTACACATACTGAAGAGGAGAGATGTTTGTTACAATGGAGACATTATACTTTTGTGCTAATACTTACAACTCTGAATAACATCTTACTTTTTATTCCTATTTTCTGTTGGACCTTCCATTAAACTTCATTTTTCTATTCTAATTTAAGTAATCAAAGATTAGTCTAGAACCTTCATCTCACTTGCCCACTTCTAATCTAGCCCTTAAACCTTTTATAAGCATGCTTTTCCCTCTACCTTTCCATATCCAGGGCTCTAAGTTTACCTGTTACTGTATATTTTTCACACTTTTAGTTCATTCATTAATAACTCAGTAAATATTTAATCCACACTATCTAAGTAGAACTTTGCTAAGAACTGAATGTATGATGGTGAGCAAGAGGGTCTTTGCCATCATAGCGCCACAACTGAAGTCTAATGTGACACAAATGTATAAACATGGGATTACAATTGTGGGTAGAAAGTTCTGTGATAGGATAAGCATAGACTGTTAGGAGAACATAGGTGTAGAAGAGCTTAATATATGTTAATGTCACAGAGAAGGCTTTTAAAAGTAATACTTTATATAGAGAGACAGAGCTAACTATGGAAAGAGCTTCTTGAAGAAGATGAATGGAGAAAAAGAGACATAAATGGTTAGGATGGAATTTCAGAGCAAGAAGTGAGAGAGAAATTAAGATAGTCCAAGCAGAGGGGAAGTAGTAAAGATAAGGCTGAAGCTACATTTGTTATTATCAGAAGTTTGAACTGATCCTTGAAATGATCAGATATTTAAAGATAATAAACAGGAAAATACAGGTTCAAATTTTACTCTAGAAATGTTCTGGTTATAATGTACAGAACAGATTGATAAGTGTTCACGATAGAACAGATTGTGAAAAGTGAGACAAATTAAAAGACTATTGTAATAACTGAGCAAAGAATTGGTGTGGCTTGCTCAAAGGTAAGGTAGCTTTGGGAGTCAAAAGGAGAGTATTGATGAAATGGAATCCGTAGGTTTTGATTAGCTATAGAGTGGTGGGGGGTCAGTGCTGAAGAAAAAAAAGGAGATAAAGTTTTATCGTAGGTTTTTGAATAGAAAATTATGTATATTGGATGTTGATCTTGTTTACTGAAAAAATATAACCCCCCAAAAAAACATATATGACAGGAGAAATGATACGTTCATTCTGCTGCACATTGAGTTTGAGCTATCTCTGAAACATTCAAAAGAGTATTACTAATGTGTGCTTAGTGGTTTGAAATATTCATCAGATGCACAAAAGAGACATCTGGACTTAATATATATTTAGGAGATACTGGAATGTAGGAAATTTTGAAGACATGGGAGTGAATGAGATCACACAGAGTAGTTGCTCTTAATTGCAAGTTCCTGATTAAGAACCACTGGCCCACACAAAGCCTAGGACAGAGCTCTAAAGAAAGGAATGGGTAGAGGAGCGCTCAGTGGTGCCTCATAAGGAATAACTAGAAATGCACAAATGAAAATCAGAGCAGCTAGTAGTATACATTTGGTTGACTGTGTTAAACATTTCAAAGAATCAAATGAAATTAAGGCTTGAAAGGTTTTTGTTGGATTTAACAATAAATTTATTATTGAAGCAAAAAAGGTTTGTCCTTGCCCTATGATGTCTGGGGTTTCAGCTAGATAATTCAGAGTCCAGAGGCTAAAATCATCCAAAGGCTTGTTCACTTCACTCACATATCTGGTAGTTAATGTGGGCTGCAGGCTAGTGGCTTCAGCTTTTTCTCCACTTGGGCCTCTCCATGAGGTCACTCTGCATGGGATAGTTTGACTTTCTCACAGTATGGTGATTGATTTCTCCACAGAAAGCATCCCAATTAAAGAAGAATGTTATGTTCCAGGTTGAGAATCATAAACTTGTGTGATGGTGTGAGTTCCTCTTACAGAAAACATCCTGGATGTACCCACCTCATGGGTTTTTATGAGAATTAATGAATGGTTAAAATTGTGAAGTTCTTAGATATAACTTATATAAGTGTCACATAAGTGTTTACTAAATAAACAATGAATTAAACTCAGCTGCAGAGAGTTAGGCATATGTAAAAAAGGGATAACGAGACAAATGATTTTAGATCATTTTGATGTAGATAATGATTGAAATAGTAGGTCGTGGGGTACATGGAACAACTATAAATAGAAGGACCAAGAATGTGAATGTAATGAAAACTAAGAGTAGAAATTGATAGAGTAGGCCTGGCATGGTGGTGCATGCCAGCACTTTGGGAGGCCGAGGCAGGCGGATCACCTGAGGTCAGGAGTTCGAGACCAGCCTGGCCAACATGGTGAAACACCGTCTCTACTAAAAATACAAAAACTTAGCCAGATGTAGTGGCAGGCACCTGTAATCCCAGCTACTCTGGAGGCTGAGGCTGGAGAATTGCTTGAACCTAGGAGGCAGAAGTTGCAGTGAGCAGACATCGTACCATTGCACTCCAACTGGGACAATAAGAGTGAAACTCTATCTCAAAAAAAAAATTGATAGAATTGTTAGTAGTAGAAGAGAGTAGCAGAGGTCTGAGTAATATTACAGGAAAAGAGTGAAAACATAATTGTAAATGAGTTTGGAGCCTGTATTTATAAAATAGGACACCTAAGCCTAATTTTTTTTGAAATGTAATAGAGGAGAACAAGTTGTAGGTATGTGAATACGAATTCCAAAAGTTAAGAGTTGGTGAAGGACTTCAAAGCTGATCAAGGAACTGAGAGATTAAAGGGTTAGGTGAACCAGCTGTAATGATAATTTGGATTAGACTGGAGAAAAAGAAATTGAGCCATGTGTCAAAGTTGTGAATAAATAAGGAAGGATGACAAGGATGTTGATAGACATGAGCATTGACCAGAAATAGGAGGTGATATAGCTAGATATAATTAACCTCTATTTTCATCTTACTGCTTCCCATTTATTCAATTTTTCAGTGCATGATTTCAACAACTGCCAATACACTGATGACTCCCAGATCTACATCATCTATTCTTGAACTTCAGATTTGTATATTCAGCTGTTACCTAGGCAACTCTCTGACTATACCAGAGGCACCATAAATTTGAACATGCCAAAAATGGAATTCATTTTATAATTTGAACCTTCTTAGCCTCTCACATTCTCTATTCCAGCTGATCCACCACCAACCATTCAGACTCATGTTAGAAACTCTGAAAATAACTCTTGATTTCTTCCTCTTTCTCATCTTGTATATCCAACCATGATCAAGTCCTGTCAATTTTATCTACTAAATATTTCTAGAAGTGGAAATCTCTTCTCATCTAGAAAGATTAGCCTAGATTGTCACCTAGATTGAGGCTCCCTCACTTTTCACCTGAACTATAGGAGTCTTATAATAAGTCTTTCTTCTTCCAGTGTTGTCTCCTGCAAATATACGATTCACATACTTGTGTATATACCCAAGTTATCCATGCCATGGAAAGATGAACACATAATTCCCATTCTTCAGATATTTTTTTGGCTTCCCAATGCCTGCAGTTTAGAAGTCTGAGTTCTTCAGAGTATAAACAATAGTCCATCACTTGACTCCTGTCCAACGCTCAGTTCTCATCTCTTATCATTCATGCCCCACATTTAATCGCCCAGTTACTCCAAACTGGTTTTTGTCCCTGACCATAAGACAAGACTCTTTCCTACCTCTTCACCTTTGCATCTGCTCTTTCCAATTCCTGGAGTGCCTTTGTTACCAACCTGATTAGACTCTACTCCCACTCTCTGCCTTTATACAGCAAGTTCCTAGTCATCCTCTAATTTTTTCTTTTATTTCTCTACTTTCAAGAAGTCTTTCCTGGGATTGAGAACCATCTTCTATACTCCTCAAGATATATTTATCATAGTACTTATCAACCATAGTGTAATTCATTTTTTTAAACATGTCTCCACCTGAATCCTTTGAATATATAATAGTGTACTATTTAATCTGTGTAGTCTCTTTGCTTATAGTTAAGTGCCTTGTACATGTTAGGCATTTAATAAATTCATATTGATAAATTAAAAGAATGGATGCTAAATACTTAATAAAACATGGAGGTTAACTGCAATATTTTATTAAATTATAGTCTCAAACAAAATACTAAAATTGTCTGCAAATGACTTAAAACTCACTAAACCAAAAAGAAATTTATTTGTAATGTCCCCACTGAGTTGTTGTAAAAAGCTAAGAGGAGAAGTTTATAAGTAAGGCATCTTCTTAGTTGAAGCCTTTTTTGGAGATGTTGACATGCTTATGAATTCTTTCTGAATGCT